CCCCCCCCTTCTCTCCTTTCCGCTCCAAATTTTTCCTGTCCATATAGTATAGTATGAAACTGACATGATTACAACTCTCTAACTCTTTTTCTCAGTGAAAAAAAAGGCATCGAAGTAATTGAGATAAATACCGGTAAATACAGACTACGACAAACTTGCAAATTAGCGTTCTTCAAAAAAAAAACCCCCGAAAACATCCCAGATTAGGACGCGGATAATCCCAACTTGATCATCATCTGCTTATTTTTCTTAGGTATCTGATCAATGACGAGTTATCCCTACCCGGAAAACTCCTACCAATTTTTTTTGAATCACATCTTTTAACTGAAAACTGGCTTTTCCAGTCTCAGACCACAAATTACAAAGTTACCACCTTCGCACTATTGTTGTTCACCCATGAAAACGTAGTTCAGAAACTATTGACTGCTGAATGAACAGGAACGGAAAAGAAGCGAAATTAGCCCAAAAGCAATGCCAGAGCATCGTATAATGTTTGTGACTCCAACTTCCTACCAGCTACCGTACTCAAAAGGCTCTGGAAGTAACGGTATTGGGCAGGAGCTTAGAGCTGAATTTTTTGGCCAGAAATGAATTATGAAAATAAACAAATGGACCATGCCTGATCTGCAGATTAGTTTGTGACGAGAAATTCAGGACTTCAAAGTCTCACCCAGTACCGTACTCTTTTCCAGCTGTGAAGGGGTCTACTTGGTAGGCGTAGTAGTCCGAGCTAGGGTTCAAGCTAGATTTTTGCTGTCAATAATGAGTTTTACGAGCAACAGCCTGGCTAAGGTTTCCCTCAGTTTAATAATCCACGTACCCAGTCTTGCCTGATACTGTCTTCAGATGAGATACTGATAATGCACAAAATTGATTTCACGATTATGTGGATAAGGTTGACTGTGATAAATTTAATAATTAAGTATCAAATACAATAAATACAATACGTATAGTAAGATGTATGTCGATGAGAAGATATTACTTGTGATAAAGGGACTACGCTCTTGCACTCCTAGTGAAAAAAGGTGAACATCGTAAAAAACCTCAAAAAGCACGCTCTCACTAGGACTTGAAAGGCATGTACCTTAATTCTTTCAACTAAGCTAAGGATGATGGTTTAAGGGTAATAAAGAAACACTTCAGAAACAGAGTAGTACATGTGTGAGCTCACCGTATTCTCTGTCTTGAAACGATCCCGATCATCGCGTTGGCTCTGCTCCAAGTGCTCAAGGGCTCTTGTAAGTTCAACAACGTCTTGTCTGAGGTTATCGTTGGCCGCCAACGCAGCATCATTCTCTTCTCGAAGCATGTCATTGATCTCCTCGAGAGTGTTATTTCTGGAAGTATAAACGGACAGAATAAATAACATTTTGAAAACATCCTAAAACATTTACTACGTCTTAGCAAATTTGGGAAAAATCTAATAAAACATGGAAATCTCCAGAACGAACTCACTTGAACAACTCGTTCTTCAATCTCGAGAAAAGCTCATCGATACTTTGTTGGTCTTCCATATTCAAGTGTTCGTCTGAATACATAAGCCTAGGTGAAGAGCGAAATCGAGGAGAATATACATGCCGGACGTCGACGGAGGATGACCTAGATAGATGCTTCTTTGATTGAATTCCATCGCAAAGCTATTTTAAACTGTCTATTTATCTTGATGACTTTCTTCGGCTAACATAGGGTTGATAATACAAACACATTTCACTTACATCGAGTTGTTTTCTGTCACACCAGTCTGATAGACCTGATCTTCATCAAAATCACAAAAACGTACTGAACAATAGGGCGGCAAATTTTTAAATGTGAATCATGTCTTTTCCTGAGCCATGCACATATTAGCTTGGAAAGAAAAGAATGTCGCTTTTTATTTC